GACCAAGATGGTTTCCACAAAGACTCCTGAACGGCAGGAATGGGAATTGGTGCCCGTGGGTGGGCCATAGGACAGGCAGATTTAGTGTAAGTACAGGGTGATGGTCATACTTACAGACTTGTTGTGATTGGGCTTGTGTATGTGTGTAACCAGTGCCATATCAATACAAAGGACCATTAGGAGAGCAGAGAGGGAGAGGAGAGAGAGGAGGAGGGTATCCTTGATGAGAGGAGATAAGGGAGAAGGAGAATGTTGGTCAACAAGTCGCACTGTATCGCCTGGATGGGAGTCGAGTCACTAAGACAGGTGCATGCAAGCATCCATGTACGCTCTGGACCTCCCCTGCAATGCAACCCAGACTATCGTATTCCCCAGCCGTCACATGCCTTTTCAGTCCAGATAATCAAATTAATCTGCGCGTTGAGAACTCACATGAACCTAGCAGGATGAAGAAGAGACAGTTAGGGAAGGGGAGGGGAGGGGAGGGGAGGGGACACCATTGAGAACTTACAGGTGCACAAGTCTAGTAAATGAGAAAACAGGAGCCGTGGGGAAGGCACCAGCCATTTGGGTGTTGCACGCATGCCTGACCCGAGGACAGATGGGCACATGGGAAGATGGGCAGATGGGGAGATGGGCAGATGGGGAGATAGGTAGATGGGAGGGAGGGAGGGAGGAAGGAGGGCAACGAGAATGGCAATATAGCAGCATGCATGGACAGCTCATGGGCAGTTGCAGAGAGCAGCAACACCAGCACCTCTAGCTGCCCTAACTGCGAGCCATGAGCAACCAACAAGAGACGCAATGTGCTGTGCAGGAGTCGAGAAAAGAGGGGGCGAGAAGAGAGAAGGGGGGCAAAGCAGGGAGAAAGAGGGGAGAGGAGTGTGTACAGTGCGGTGAGGCCAGTGAGGAGGCTGAGCTGAGTGGGTAGCGTTGTGATGGGGTTGCCACTCAATGACCTGCCGTGGAAACGAGGGGATGCAAGGGAACAAGTGCAAATGTGCTGACAGTTCGGAAACGAGCAAATGGGCGCATGCAAAGGGAATGGATGAGGGAGGATCATACGTATGAATGAACCACAGCCACACAGTGGGCCTTTTCAGGTGGGTGGATTGAATGCTCGCACAAGTGGTTTTTGAGGCGCCTCAAAAGTTGTTCTTCCAATCAGAGCTCTCTTAGCTCGGTAGTTTTTACTCCCTTTCTTTCCTGCTAAAGTTTTTCTCTAGTACTGCTGCCCTTCCACCATGAGTGACAACGATCAGTGGGCCTTTTCAGGTGGTTGAGTGCTCTCACAAGTGGTTGAGTGCTCTCACAGGTATTCGAGTGAGGAGACGGCGGAGAGGAGGAGCACGTTGTCGTCAGTGAAAGAGCAGTTGTCCAATTTGCTGCAAGGGGGCGTGCACAGCAATGGGATGCAGTGGAGTGGAACGCGATGGGATGGGATGGTACGGGATGGGATGGGGCAGAAAAAAGGAAGGGACGGGATGGAGATGGATCAGATGGGGTGCAAAGGATTGAACAGGACAGCTTGTCATGAAACGTAAGAGGAGAGTACGACAGGGGAAGACAAACGCATGACCCCACCAGATGCAGCACGCAGCACACTACTCTTTAGAGATCCCTTTCTCTGTCTCCGCCCAAGCTCCTCTCCCCTCCCCTCCCCTCCCGTCCTCTTACCATCCCCTCCCACCCAACAACCAGTGGAGGAAGGAGCTTTCAAGGGCGTAAGGAGCTCTCACGAGCACATGGAGCTCACAGGAAGGAGATTTTCCTGCCCGCGGCAATGGAGCTTGGTAAATGATTCAGCATCATGTTGCCACCCAAGTCCCTGCAGGTATTAGAGTAAGAACGGTGAGAGCATGACACGGAGCGGAGGGGCAAGAGAGTGGGAGAGAGTGGGAAAGGAGTGGGCCAAGAGAGTGGCGGAAAGAGAGCAACAAGGTGAGCTGTTGCAAAGACATGAGGACGATGGAGAGGAGGGTCAAGCGGGCAGGCACGGCTGTGAGAAGGCTCTTATTGAAAGCCTGGTGTGAGTGAGGTGCGTGAGGGGATGATGTGAGGGAATGATGTGAGAGCGGTGTGTGAAGGAATGATGTGAGAGCGGTGTGTGAAGGAATGATGTGAGAGCGGTGTGTGAAGGAATGATGTGAGAGGAGTGTGTGAGGGAACACATGATTGTCAGCCGTTCAGAAGGACAACAGGGAAATTGGGGGGGCGGGGGGAAGGAGGAGGAACAGAGGGGGGTAGAGAGGAGAGGGAGAAGCAGGGTTGGGAAGCAGATAGAAAGGAAGAGGGAGGACGGACCAAAAGGGGGGTGAGGAGGAGAGGGGAGGGAGAGGGGAGGGAGAGGGGGGGGGGGATAAGTCAAGAATGAACGCGGGCCTTACAGGTGCCGCAGTGTTGGAGGTAATGCAGGAATAGTTCCCACCAGCATGTTTCCTGACACGTCACTGGAAGATTCAGCAGCGCCAGAGGCAAGGGGAGGAGGAGAACAGAACACGAGACGCAAGCAGCACACATGGTGGTTCGTTCGAGTGGCACTCTCTCCTCCACAAGGAGAAGAAGGAGAAGAAGGAGAAGGAGAATAAGGAGAAGAAGGAGGAGAATAAGGAGAAGAAGGAGAGGAGGAGGAGGAGGAGGAGGAGGAGGAGGAGGAGGAGGAGGAGGAGGAGGAGGAGGAGGAGGAAAGAGCACAAGACCGTTTGTGTGCCACGTTCTCCTCCACACACTGAACTGAATTGAACCGCTAGCCCTGACTCAACAAGGTTTGCCTCTGCAGGCAAGCCAACGCATACGAAGAAGCTATGGCACTGGGCTAAGCGACGACCACAAACACAAACAGAGGGCGTACCAAAAAAAATGTGTATTTCTTCATCATAAATATCAATACTTCATTTTATATTTTCTCTCCTTTGGGGAACTGTACACGCCGTCACCGGACAAGAATCAAATTGCACGAATCTTGAATTCCATTCCACCATCCCCACACCATTGAGGTCTGGATCTGACGACGTCAGCCACGGTCATTACTCACAGTTACAGTCACTGCCACGGTCGCGTTACTGCAGCGGGCGTTACTGCAGCGGGCGTTACTGCAGCGGGCGTTACTGCAGTGGGCGCCTACTGAGAAGAACCAACCGGACTAGCTAGAGGGCAAGGCACCTGCCCCATTTGTTTCTACGCCTCTCAGAAAGCACCTCACTTCATCAGCGTCTCCCATTCCTGGAGCCCCCTCTCACACTGCCTAGAAGGCGGGGGCAGGGATAGCAAGCTGGGACTTCGATGTCGCAAATCTAGCAGCATTTGGGAATTTTTGCACACACAAAAAAGAACTCCTGCAACAACAAAGCCTCCTTAGCATTGCCCCAGGGGCCTCTGGGATAGCTTGCCAGGACTTTGAAGCTGTGAGCTGGGTCCAATAGAAGTGTGTGTTCATGCCTACCCTCTCTACGTCAATGCTTGTTGCTGTTTTTGTTGCTCATTTATATGAAGGGCCAAGTGAGGGGAGTCACGAGGGAACGAGAGCCTTACAGGAACTCCACTGCAGGCAACATTGGGAGACTGCCACTCAGCCTGTTTCCTGACAAGTCCCTGGCAGAGACAGAGCAAGAGGGAGGTGGAATGAGGTTTCAGTGCCATGCTTGATATTGAAGTGCTACTGCTGCCATGGCAGCAACAACATAAGGATTTAAGAAAAGCAACAAACACGAAAAGACAAGAATTTGAGCAGTTGATTGTGTGTGTGAGCGACACCCTCATTAGCAAGCCTCAAACCACGATGAAAGGGTGCAAACTCAGACATGCAGAGGAGCATGCATGCTGCACGCAAGAGTGAGTGGCACTTGAGACATAATCAGTGGGAAATTTTGTCAACACCAGTCTCAAATCACTCCCGGTGTTTATTTAATCGTCTGAGAATGGAACATATCGACACCCAGTTGATTGCGCAGACACTCGTTTTTTAGAAATAGAAAATTGCGATGTGAAACAATATACGTAACGTTATTTGGTTGCTGGTCACCGTGTTGTCCCGGTGTGTTTTGAGAAGTTATATATACGCGAGTCGTGACGATCGCGATATTAATACAGCGAGCGGTAATCGGATCTGTAACAACATCGATATTCGCATTTGAGTGTATTATTAACGGGACATATGTCGGCCCGTTATGAGCGGCACCATTGACAACTCTCAACCTTTCGGAAGGTCGCAAGTATGCATGCTGACGATGGTACAGTATCCTCGGCATGTCATAGGCACATGACAAGTGTCAATTTCACCTGCTGCCAATGACGAACCGCCATGGTGGAATCCACATTCTAGATCTGCGAGGTGTGCAGGGGCAACATCAACTCTCGCGGATCCGAGAATTGTTACCCAGTGTGCCTGGTTGAGCCTATAAGGGTTTCTGTCGGTAGCTTGCCCGACGGCTAGTCTCTCCCATCAGTAGGGTTTCGGCCTTTCCCAGCAACTCTGACTATCCATGGTACCGCGAACCAAGGCGCAGGCCGCTACACGCGGAGGCCTTAGGACGGCAGCCATGCCGACGCGTAGGCAACCTGCAGGAGCGCGGCGGGATAACACAACGATCCCGGAACAGCTGAGCAACAAGCGTCTGCACTCGCATGAAGCCCAGCAGGGGAACCCGAATAAGGAGAGCGCATCTCCGGCATCTGTTTCCGCATGGGGCTCGCGACTGCCCGGCGCCAACGAGGAGCCTGCGCCGATTGACGCGCTGACAGATCTATTGACCGCACCATCGTCATCGAATTTCAAGACGGTGTCTCTGTATAACCACATGGGCGTGGGCTATCAGGTGAACGCGCATGACGCCGTGGCGCTCGCCGACAAGAAATGCCTAAACGATGCGGTCGTCGACTTCCACAACATGTACGATATTTTTTGACGGCACTCCTACATGCTGGCATGCGACGTCACGGCTATGCAGATTTTAACTGAGGCTAATTCATCGTGCGTTGTTCCCCCGCACCCTTGCAGCCTCATGAACATCAGGTACCCGAGATGCCCGAACGGGAAATCATGGGTGGTCCTGGACAGCAAGGCGTTTGCGTATGCACAGATTCACCGCAAGCCGATCAGGAGATGCACGGACCCATCCGTCTTCGAGTACGACTACATCGCCGTCCCCATTTTTGCCGGGTACGTTCGTCTCTCACCTGGCAGTTTAATACGTCCATATGACGACCCCGCCTAACTATGTGTAGTGGATCGTGCAGGAGCCACTATTCTTTGATGGTGGTAACCAACCCGAGCGGAATTGTAGCCCCGACTGCCGCTCCTGTGGAATTCATTCATTTCGACAGTGAGGGCCTCTACACCAAGACGACAGAGGCCTTCGACGGGACTAAAGCGTGGGTTGCGTTAAACACCATGGTGCAACTACGTGCAGTGGTACTCTTCTTGCAGCGGAATATGACCGGGTGGCCATGTGCTCTTGCAGGTTACTGCACCTCATGTGCCAACGCGATCATCCGGAGGTGGACCCAGAGGCGGCTAGGCAGGCGCTTATCAAAGCCACAACGTTGACCATGGAGGTGAGTCGCTGGATCGACGTGGGCTCCAGCTGTTCCACCTTGTTGCTATTACAGTACCTTATTCTGATGACTTCGATCTTCGTGACTGATATGTGCGCAGGGTCATCAGATCCCCAAACAACCTAACAGCTGGGACTGCGGGGTGTACATGTGCCAGTATCTCGAAGCTCTGGTTACATCTGGGTTCGTAACCGTGCGTGAGTACATATCGTTAAAGGGAGTGAGCGCGGAGAGGTACCGCCACAAGATGCGTGCAGACCTTTGTTCTCATGCAGAGGGAACGCTGATACCCGAGCTGCAGCGCCAGGGTCTCCGCATCCCTCTGCAGCCCGTTCCCGTTATCGACGACAACGGGTACATGTGCGTCGACCCACCTGTGGACGTTCGAAGAGAGCTACTCGACCACAAACAGAAGTTCGCTGTGCTGGAGCATGACATACAGGTTCTTACGGCCAAGATAGAGTTTCTGGCCATCAGCAAAGGCTTGACGTCGGACGAGCTGGACGCGGGAGCGCGCCAACACCTCGGTGCCGTGGCCGAGATGGTGGTGCCGACGGCGACTCCACGGAAGCAGGCCGCGGCCGGAAGTGGCCAGATAGAGAGCGCGAGGACTCATCAGCCGCGTGCACTGGCGGCAGTGCCTGCAATCTCTCCATGCCCTGCACCGGGCACACCTGTCTCGCTGAAAGATGGCTATGTAGCTGCTGGCGTAGCGACACCTGCTGTGGTCCGGCAACAAGAGCGCGGCCATCTTGCACTGGCCTTGCGCAGCCGCGCCTCGACTCCCGTGCCTGCCGCGGCAGGTAACCCCGGAAGGGTCGCAAGCAGCGGACGGACGGGAGTCATGTGGAACGCAGCGAAGCAGAGGTACTATGTGCGGATCATATCTGCTCGCCGGCAGCAGGTTCGTCTGGGGTCGTACGAGGACAAGGACGAGGCATCTTACGCGTATGCTGCGGGGGCCGTTGTCCTTCGCCCTAACTCCCGCATCAGCTGCACGGTGCAGCTGTCCGACGGGGAGAGGCAGGCGCTAGCCGGCTGCACTGAGGAGAGTCTAAGGCTTCTCGTGAAATACAGGCGCTGGAACAGATGGAGGGAGTGGAGAGCCGCCATGGAGGGTCTGGATGATGGCCAGGCGCCCGAGGCCCGTTCGCGGCGAAAGGGCAGAGTCCCCCGGGTCATGCATGACGTTGAGGAGGTGGAGGCTACCACGCCCGCAACAGAGGACCAGCCTATGGCTCTTGAACCTGAGGACCCCCCAGAGGATTACACAGATGACGAGGCGTCTGTTGACGACGATGCTGTGTATGAACCAGAGGGCGATGACATGGAGGATGAGGATGACTGGGAGGAGGTCAACAAGGAGGACACTGCTGCATGAAGGATTGTTTAGGGTGCACCATTAGACCAACACTTGTTTTGATTACCCTAATGACCTTGCCTGGGCTGAGTATGTTAGATTGGCGTGGTTTGGAAGTTGCTGAATGTAATGTGACATTGAAATGTCTTTGTTACATACGCTGTAAATATAACTCGCTTTGCCGTACACGGGGACACTTGTAGTATATGGAAGCCAAATTAGGGAAGTTGGCACAGCAGTAATTTGTAATTGAATTTATGTAACGTGGACGCAGATGTCGCAAGTGTTGAAATGATGCTGTGGGTTTGGGGTGTATCGCGTCTAACATAGACGAGGACGAGCACAGAGTGTTACGATTGTGCCACGACGACATTTTCCAGGCGCAAAGTGTGGCCGACATTGAAAGGTAATCCACATGGCCACTCCACCCGTGACATGTGTTCATGTGTGCGCGTGGACAATTCCCCAAGGCCAAATTATGTGGCCTGCAAACCCACTAGCATGCATCGCGATATCATCGAGGACGGTGATGGGCCTGGTGCGATAGCGAGTAGAACCCCAAGCGGGTTTCCAACTACGCCATTTCGAGCCCGCGGTGTAGGTGGTCTTTGATTCTGTCTCCGCTGGAGGTCGAGATGAGTCCTGACCCAGAGGGCGGTCGTTCCAAGCGGAAGAAGAATGCGCCACCATGGTTGGCGGAAGCATACCAATACCCGGAGAAGAAGAAGAAAGTGGGACGCGTTCAGGAGCCCAAGCGGCGCAAGACCAGCACTGTGAAGAGTGGCAAGGAGGATAAGGGGGCGGAGCATATCGAAGGTAACACTTGGGAATCTCGCCAATTATATTGCCCTTGATGTTGACTTGATAATGCATGACACTGGTGAGTGAGGCCGTATGTGCAAGCAAATCTAACCCCGTTCTACATTCCACACCCACTGTCCCAGAGACCCAAGAATTGCCGCTGCAGATATGTACCGCCAATGTTGTCGGGGCCGTCGACGCGGAGGCAGCCTCAACGCCCATTGTCGAGAGCGCACCCCCTGTGGAGGACGACACCGAGGCCGTGAAGGAACGCTTGATTGACGAGTTAATGGAAGGCGAAGAGGAGGGCGACGAGGAGGGGCACGCTGGTGGTCAGTCGTCAAGCAACGACCCGTGTGGCGAAGACGGATCAGAGGAAGAGCACGCCCCGAAAGTGGCATCTTCGAGGAAGCGGAAAGAAGCAACCGGTGGCCACGTCACACGTGAGGAGTTTGAGGAGTTGCGTGAGTCACAGAATGGTACCGCGAAGACTATGGCTCGTCTCGAGACACACGTTTTAACTCTCATTGCCCTTGGCGAAAGGCGCAAGCGCAAGCGGGCTTCTCCTGGTGCGGCAGCCTCGCTTGGCAGGGAAGCTCTGAGGCGGAAACGCCTGTCAGATGATGACGAGGAATCCACGTGCGATGAAGACGAGTTGCCTTCGAAAGTGGCGAGGCATATGACTACCGACAAGTCGCCAGTGCTCCAAAGCGCCCTTGATATCCTTCCCGCAGAGAAGGCTTGGAAGGTGAGGCTTCGCATGGTGTGTTCTGGTAACCTCATGGGAGGGTACTCGACAGCAATACAGATGTCGTCACCGTATTCCACCCCCCCGCAACACTATTTTCTATGTTGCAGGGTGTTTGCGACCTGGTAAAGGATCATCTGTTTCTAGAAGCCCCGAACGAGAATATGGAGTTCTATCCGAGCCGCGACGCCAAGAACGCCGGCGTCTGCCATGTCATGTCCACCATTCCTCCCAAAACTGCGACACTGGCGTTAGACGCGGATAAGTCTCGGAGGCAGGATCTGAACAAGACCTTGTCAGAGTACAAAACAGGGTTGGCGGGTCGCGCTCGGGGAGTTTTTCTTCCCCGGATGGGTCTCTTCCGTGACGACGAGGACCGAGCCAGTCCTTGGGCTCGTAAGAAGGAGCGCACTGGAGAGCGTGCCCGAAAAAGATATGGCGTTCCCGCCACGGACGATGGTGCGTGTAAGCATGTTATATGGCCGGTGCATTTAAGGCCGGCATGAGTTTCATGCCATAGTGGACCACTGCGGCCATTAAACCCTCTCCGACCCCCATGCGCGGCATCATTGCACCCATATTTTGTTCCACGTGCGCAGCTGAACCTGCCTTGTGCAATTGGCACATCAGCAAGGAAGGACTGCCCTTTGCTTCCGGAGCGTTCTCGGCATGTACCATTGCGGCGTTCGGAGGGAAGCGGTCCGACAAAGAAACAACTCTGAAGCTGTACCACATGTCGTGGCTCGAGCACCTGGTACGTTTACTCCGTTGCGCACATTTGATGTTGCCACGTCCGTAATATTCTCCGCTCTAATGGGTTTTTTCTGCCGTCTCAGATCACGGACGCCATTATCAACTGGGAGACTTGCAAGGGGAAACTCCACAACTCTCCGTGCGATAACGGCGATTCTGTGCGCCGGATTCAGAAGCTGGCCTTTGATTCAATTGCAGATGCCGTGTGCGGGAATGAAGTGGCCTACGATGAGGAAAAGAAGTCCTGGAAGTGGGGCAGGCATGGGCTCCGTCTATCATGTTGCGGCCTGGAATGCCTCCTGGAAGACGATGCATCCTCCGAAGACGATCAGCAGGAGTCCGATGAGTCTGACGAGTCAGAGAGTGAATCCGATGCGTGACCTGCGTAGGGTTGTTTGGCAAATTGTGTGTCGTAGACTGGTGTAGTTCCTTAGTCGGAGGATGCAGCACTTGTTCGATCGGTGCATATGTGCAAGAGAACAATGTTATAGTATATGGATTTTCACCAGACATAAGGGAGACCGTGCTCAACATAGACACGAGTATGGTTTTTCCACAGCCCCGGGCATCACGGCGACAATTGCGGCGCATTTCGCGGCGACAAATACGGCGGGGTTAATAGGAGCCGTCAGATGCAATGTTAGTATGACGTGGAGAAAGACCAACCGTACATCTCACCGAGCCGCTCGTCAACGATACGTTACTTACTGCCATTGCGGCACCAGTGTCCAATGTATGCTGGCCACCTGGGTGATGCAGATGGTGACATGTATGTTATAGTGAGATCCGCGACGATTACACGTGTATGTGCGATTGGTAGCTGTAGTCCTAGTTGGACATGTATTATCTCCGATCGGACGGCGTGAGTAGGTACAAGTGGATTGACGGTACCAATCTTGGAATAACATGTGTAACGTACGGACGGTCGGGATGTCGCGCATCAGCCTAGAGTTTTGTAGGTCGGCGGCGTATCCGGAGCGGCCATGTGCCGGCTCTTGTTTGGCAAACCCGAGTTGCATTGAGACAATCGCCATCGTACATCTGTGGCCATCTGGACCCTACATGCGGCACTCAACGATTCGTTGGGGGAGGGCATCCATCTGGCATAAAGCGTAATTCCACGTGGAGATATTATGCTGACGTGGAATAGTGGCTTCATGTATGCTCCAATGCAGCTATGAAGCAACGCACAGGTGTAACCGTGAAGTGTCACCCCAGTGACGCAAATGTCATCGACCAACATATGACGTAAAAGCGACCCCCATGACGCTGTGCGTGTTGCGGCAATGTTGCGGGAACCGTTGCTAGAAAGCTGCGGGAAAGTTGCGGAAAAGCCACTTTCCCCGTAACCCCGACACAGAAGCGTTTGACCTAGACTTTTTTCTTGCGAAACCAAAGTTGCTTGAAAGCAACTTTGAAGCTGCAAAGCCGTAGCTTTTCCGGCCTTAGACTTTCGCGATGTCGGCCTTGGGTAACCGTAGTACACAGCAGTTTATGAGCCTCTGTCGGACTAACCGCCTCTGCTGGACAAACTGAGCTGCCTTTTAGAGGGCCCTACGACAGCAAAGGGCCCTTGTAACGTGACTTCTTGGCAGGTGTATAATGAACGACCAAGACTATGAGCTGCCAAGCACCAACCCATGACTTCGCAATGGTTGCGTATTGACGTCGTGTGACTACGACGGCGCTAATGAAGTCGTTGCTGGGGTGGTGCTAGCTTAGGGAAGTTGTGGGAAGTGCGTGGTTGTCTTGGGAGGTATGGCTGGTTCCTTGTGAGTCGCGCCATTTCTAGTAGCTGTGCTGTGAGAAACGGGCGTGCTCGGGTTGACTTCTCTCCTGACTTGGATTGGGAAGTTGGGCCCTGTTCGACTGGTGCAGCAGGCACCGGCTCGGGTGCCGGCTACAGTAAAGAGTGCTCCCTCGAAGCTTCTGAGATAAGCGGCCAACAGCTGACTCGGATCTGGGATATGCTGACTCGGGTCTGGGATAGGCGCATGAGCACCGAAGCGAACTGGTGCACGACGCCAGCCGAACACCCTTTTTGGCCCCCGGTTTGGGAACCAGATGTGCATTCCCGGAACCATCCTCTCCTGGCAAACCGACGCACCACTGATGCGGGCATGGTGCATCGTGGAGAGCTAGCACCATGCGTGCACCAGCTGATGCGGGGCAGCATTAGGTGCCCGCCAAGTTGAACATCCCCCGAGTTTGTCAAACCGTCCCCACACAACTGCCCGCTCTGTACAAGTCGAACACCCACCTTGTTTGACAAGCTTGACAGACGAATTGGACCAATTTGACAAACCCCAAACCACTACCTCTCGTTCGAATTCCGTTCGAGTTCGGTTTAAAGGTTTAGAGGTTTTTTATAGGTCGTGACCTGATAGAAACATGCAAACTAGATAAGGATACAAGCAAGAGCCCAGCTCCTCAAGCCTACGTGTCAGTTGATCTTGAAAACCACAGCTATGAACCCGCGTTATCGCGACGAAGCGATCGATACACCTATTGTGTCCATCAGGCGGACATCGTATCTTTCTTTTCTCGGGATCTGCTGTTATGGTTTCAAGACTCAGCCAGTTCCAAGGCATTACACACTGCCTTTTTTAAGTTTATCCTGCATTACAATCTCCCGGCTGACACAGCAGTTTATGCGCCTCTGTCGGACTAACCGCCTCTGCTGGACAAACTGAGCTGCCTTTTAGAGGGCCCTACGACAGCAAAGGGCCCTTGTAACGTGACTTCTTGGCAGGTGTATAATGAACGACCAAGACTATGAGCTGCCAAGCACCAACCCATGACTTCGCAATGGTTGCGTATTGACGCGCAGATTCAGGATTGGCTTTCTACATTTCAACCATTTCTCAAGGTTCATGGATTTCATCCGCCAGTCTCTTCAGCGGAAACACAGCATCTGTATTAGGAGCAAAAAGTCGCTGATGGCAATCTGCTGTCACTACTTAAAGAATGTGCTCAGACTCCGAGCTTTCCAGGCATTTCTGGCCTTTCTTTTACAACCTCTGCTGGTTTTCTGTCATCATCGCACGATGCCGCATGCTCCGCCGAAGGAGAGAGCGCCTCTGACAAAGAAGCAGAGTGCTACCAATGCTGATAACCGACCTGACATCAATGGGAAAGAGGTGGAAAACGAGGAGTCTGGTGAGGTGATTCACACGGAGGGGAGCAGCGCTGGCCTATCATTGGAAGAAAATCTGGCTGCGCTTACCTCTACTCGTGTTGAAGAAGACGACTTCACAGACGACGACTCTGATGATGAGCTCGAATTTGACGTCACAAAGGATTTGGTCGCTAAGCAGCGGTTCACGGCTATCCTGCTGCTTCCCTTCATCCTGCAACAAGACACGGCTGCTGCTATTCTGACAGTGCGAATGTTGTTAAAGTGGGTTTGGTCCTCCTTACTCTCTGACCGAGCTAACACCCAAGTGGGCTTTCAGGATCTGCTTCCAGCATACGTCGCAAAGACGAAATACAGCCGTCTGCAGCTTTCTTTCCTGAAAGAAGAGGATGCGACAAACGTGCGTCAGGCATAATTGGAATATCAGCGTGCTAATGGACCGTCACTCAAGTTACACTGGCTGCACACTGAAAACGCTGCCTTCGTCAAGATGAAAACGACTAACGCGCGAGCTGTCAAAGTGGTTTTTAAGGGAGCACCTGCGAGCATTACTCCGGAAGGGTTGGAAGAGATGCTGGTGAAACACAAGCTGAAGATTCGACAAGTTACCCCGTTCCTTGAAGGACACTGTTTCCACAGGGTGCTCCACCTGGTATCCGAACCTGACACAGACGTGATTAAAGGGCTGGTGATTCCGCACCAGGAGGAGAAGAAACGTCGTTGGATTCATCAGATTAATCACCCTCTGGAGCATGGGAGGAAGCTCCTGGTCCACTACCCCGTGCTCTCCTGTCAGCTCTGTGGGGGATGGCATTATGACAAATATCATGATGACTTCATCACAGAGCGACAGAATAACATAGGGAAGTGGAGCTTGAGTTTGAGCCGTGTGCATAGGATCAATGGTAACGGAGCGGCAGAACATTCAGTAAACATTCTATTATTACCTTTCTCTATCAGCACTAACCCTCTGGTCGCCTGTCGCATCCGCGTCCCTGCTTGCCACGCGCCTGATTCGTCCGATTCTTCTGGACCCCGCGATTGTACTCATATCCACTGGAAGTGCCAGGGAGGAATGGATCTGCATGCAGCTGAGTTGCGGGAAGGCTCAATTGAAAGCTGTTTGTCACTGCTACAGAGCACATCACCTCTGCTCGTCATCTTCATGGTCAGGAGGAACTAGGCGCTGTCACGCGTGCGACCATGGAGAAAGCGAACCTGCATGCGATTTGCAAAGAGTATGGCCTTTAGCGTCTTCACTCCAGCTCTTGACAGCAGTTGGCTCGATGGTGGTTGCTGTACTTTGCTTTACCCGACTGTGGATGCGTAGAGGCGATCAACCAGTGATTAAATGAGTGCACGGAACATTCTTTCGTTTGCGGGCCTGAATGTCAACGGCCTGGGAGATAACACAAAACGGAAACGCACGACGAACTGGACTTACAGTGATAAAGCCGCGGATGTCATGATTCTCTCAGACACTAGGATAGCGTCGGACCACCCATACTGGACCACCCTTAAACTCTCATCCTTCTCAGCTGCCACTCCGGTTACCCGAGCTGGTGGTGTAGTAGTCCTTAGCCGCAGGACAGACCTCGCCTGTCACAACCCTTCAGCTCACCCTTCTGGAAGATTAGTACAAATTGAGATTCAATGCGCAAGCCTGACCCTGACATTGATCGAGACTTACCTCCCTGCAGACAAACCCATGAGACGAGCGTTTATCAGGACAGTTCTAGGCCCGACGGTTGACCAAATTCCAACAGGTTCCAATCTGCTCATAATCGGAAACCTCACTATAGTCGAAAACCCGGTGCTTGATAAGACGTCGAAGCAGGGCTCGACAAAGGAGAATGACTACCTCTATCAGAGCTGCAAAGCTTTTGACATTGCCGATGCTTTCGCGCTTTATATCCCTTTATTGAGAGTTTACCTTTTACGCGCAGGCGCACCAGGAGAGCACGCGGATCGATCGAGCACTGGTCTCTCGTTCCCTTCTCCCGCGCCTTGTCGTGGCCGTGCACGTCATGCCGGATGAACCAGTCTCAGATCACGGCTTTGCTGTTCGCGTGGCCTTCAAAGTCAAATCTCAGATGCATACCGGTCCTGGCTTATGGCGCATGCACCCCTCTATGATGCACATACCTGGGGTCCGGAAAATAACTGAGGAGGTGGAACAACAGGTCGCAGAAAAGGGCGGCGGTTTTGAGGCACTCATATCTCGCCTGAACACTAGCCTCCGTG